TATTTATTTTAAATTACATTCGGCGGTTCACACATCGCAACAAAAACAACGGTATGGATGTTCGACTTTTACGGGTTTTTTTACGTTAATTTGTTCATATAGTCGATTAATTGGCAATCGATCCGTCGATCGAGTAATGATCCTCTGGACGATTCATTTTATTGGCTAATATCAGACGATCCTTTGTAATTTGTGCCACGTAACATGATCCCCCTCCACTCTGACGGTCGCACCTGATTGGCTCACAAGTGACGACATCACTATTTCAAACCGAAACCATCGGGTGGAATTCTGCACGTCTCTGTGTCTCGTCGTCTGATGATGCTGGTTGTTGTCGTTGTTGTAATTGCTGGCGAAACGTCACCGTACTTGAATTGCAAAGCGTCGTTTTGTGGATTTACTCTCCAGCACACTGCTGAAGCTAGTCGCATATTTGGCATGTTTTGTGTTTGCGTGACCAACCTTACTAATCGCCCATTGTCGGGTGGTGGCCGCGGGTTGACCGACACGTTTATATTAACGCGATCTGATGTGGATGTGCGCCATCTGATGCGGATAATATCAGCAAGGTCGGCTATCCCGTCGCAGTCTCGCTGACATTATCGCCGCAGCGCCCCGTGGTGCCACGCCAGAGCGCTGGGCTTTCTGTGCCTCTCCGATCTCACCGGCGGAACGCACTCGGCACCCCGCCGTGGCGAATGCGGAATCTGTTTCCACCGCTGACCACAGAGCACCCAGTTGGAGGTGAGAGGATCCTGGAAGTTTCCATGGAGCGAGGGTGCTGTTGTAAACAAAGCAAAAAATATATATGTATACCGACGACGATTCCTCGGATATTGTTGACATAGTATATTGTTTGTTCAAAGCGGCATCATACTGTGCGTATATTTAGGTTGTTGTTTTTTTCTTTCACGCGATCGCACTCTCGTTTGAAGTATTATTAGAATGTATTTAATTGCAAATTGACTGAGATTATATATCTGAAGCTCGCTTCAGCGAGGAAAGTGGCTCCCGTGTCGACGGTGCCCCCGTCCAGCGCCGCTGGCAGGCCAGGCCAGAGGGCCCATGGGTCACGAATATTGAGGGCCCTCAAGGAACCCACGTGTTGAGATCACCTCACTCTACTCACCTTCCACGCACTCTCCTACCTCTCATCTCACTCTACTCCCACGTCACACACTCTCCTACCTCTCATCTCACTCTACTCCCACGCCACACTCTCCTACCTCTCATCTCACTCTACTCACCTTCCACGCACTCTCCTACCTCTCATCTCACTCTACTCACCTTCCACACACTCTCCTACCTCTCATCTCACTCTACTCACCTTCCACACACTCTCCTACCTCTCATCTCACTCTACTCCCACACCACACACTCTTCTAACTCTCATCTCACTCTACTCCCACACCACACACTCTTCTAACTCTCGTCTCACTCTCTACTCCCCTCCACGCACTCTCCTACCTCTCATCTCACTCTACTCCCACGCCACACACTCTCCTACCTCTCATCTCACTCTACTCCCACACCACACACTCTTCTAACTCTCGTCTCACTCTCTACTCCCCTCCACACACTCTCCTACCTCTCATCTCACTCTACTCCCACGCCACACACTCTTCTAACTCTCGTCTCGCTCTCTACTCCCCTCCACGCACTCTCCTACCTCTCATCTCACTCTACTCCCACGCCACACACTCTCCTACCTCTCATCTCACTCTACTCCCACGCCACACACTCTTCTAACTCTCGTCTCACTCTCTACTCCCCTCCACGCACTCTCCTACCTCTCATCTCACTCTACTCCCACGCCACACACTCTTCTAACTCTCGTCTCGCTCTCTACTCCCCTCCACGCACTCTCCTTCCTCTCCCCTGCCATCTCACTCTCTACTCCCCTCCACGCACTCTCCTCTGCCTCTCAATTCACTAATACCTCCCCCCTGCATGCGCTCTCGCGTTCAATGATTTCCGTTGAAGCCTCCAGTCAAACTTCTCTCGGTGCAGTTGCACCGCCTGCACACTCGATAGCCACCCCACTGGGTGACGATGGGCGGTGGTCGCTAGTGGAGATGATGGTTGTTTTGTCGTGCGGCAACGCTAGAGGAAGTGGCATGCTGATGGTGTCGCCAGCGGTTTGTGCTCGTTATTTAAATGCTAATGAATTCCCCCGCTCCCTCGCCCCCTCAACGCAATTCCTCGGTCACCGCTGGCCCAAGGGAGGTTGTTGGCGCGTGCGTGGGACGCGCGCGCGCGAGAGAGAGAGAGAGATTCGCGCTCTCCGTCAGATTATTTTTCGCGAGCGTGGGTCGGCGTTCGCGGACGACCTCTATCCAGCCTCGGCTCGGCCGCGCGTCTCTCGCGGGCGGGTAGAGCCGCGTGGAACAGGGGACAAAGGGGACGGGCGACACAACCGGGAAAATGCTCAATTGTGCACTCCGGTTTTTTTTTGCCCGGTTATCCGGGACAACGACACTCATGTTGATGAGTTTAACACGGAGTCTTTCGCGACCGATGTAATTCATAATAAGGGGGGGGGGAGGGGTGGCGGTTAGATTACATCGCGTAAATATAAATGTGTCAAACCTTACTAAACGGTTGTGTCGGGTGGTGGTGGGTTAACCACACATTTATATTGACGCGAACTAACCCAAAACCATAACAACAGCAAAAAAAAATGTCTTCATTATGAAAAAAAAGAATAACGACGATGATGATGATGAGCAAAGATGCGGTGCATTTCATATCCGGTCCATTCTCATCGCGCCAAGGCGATCAACCGAAGTGGCTGTGTGGTTTACGGACACTACCCGGTGGTTTCACGACAGAGGGGGAGGGGGCGGGGGGAGGGGACCCGGGGTGGTGGGGGGGGTCTTTAACGTCCGCTGGCAAGCAGACCGAAGCGCATCGCGGTGAGCAACGAGGCTGTCCTGAGCCGGAGTCAAACCGCGAGCCCTCTGCGTTGACCCCGAGGAGGGGCAAGCGTGCTACAAAGAGAGTCATCGATCGCACAGGACGGAATATAAGTTAGACCGTAAGCACCGTGCTTAGTGAGAATTTGGAGTAACCACCTCTTTTGTTTTTTTGCACTGTAGGCAAATAAAAAATATCCACCGATCATATATATATTTTTTTCTCAGCCAGCCCAGGTCTATTATATAACAAAGTAACAAGGTGTGTGTGCAGCGGCAACACCGTTATAAAGAAGTTCAACACAGCAAGGGGGTGGGAGGCGAGGGAGTGAAAGAAAAGGGAGTAAGGGGGGGGGGGGGGGTGTGATAAATACCAACGCTATCATGAATCACGGTGCCTCGACAAAAACCCAAACATTACTATATAACGGCGGACAATTTGCAAAAGGACCACAAATTGACACGTTCAGCGTGACGTTGTTCTGCCAAAAAAAGGCCTCTTAAACCCCACCAAAAGCAAACCGTCGTGGATTATAAATACCCAAGACAGGAAACGCTATCGGCACAACAACAACAACAGCAGCAGCGGCGGCGGCGGCGGCGGCTGCAGCTGAAAACGTGACGACATCCAATCAGACGGAACGAATCCGAAAATCTGAACCACGCCGCAATGGGCACGCACGTCGCGAGCAGCCGTAAACAAAAATATCCCGTGGCACCTTAAGAGTCCCGACAGAGCGGGACACGCAAAGCGTCAACATTTTTGCGGCGGTGGTGTTCGTGGTGTAAATAATGCATACGTGGTATTTAGCAAACACAAAAATTACTTTACCCTCCCCGGCAATTAAACACATGTTAAGATATAAACTAAGAGAACTAAACTATTTTTTTTTATTTTACCAGGTAAAGCCCACTGAGCTATACAGCTCGTTTTTTTCAGAAAAAAATCCACGTGACCACGGGGAAAGAGACACGAAAACTCCAAACCTACAGCAGGCGCCAGGGTCGGGATCGGGATCGAACCCACGACCTCGTGCGTACCGGTCGAGGTGGTTAACATCTCGTCATCGCGATACTACACTTGCATAAAGGGTCCCGCAGATAAAGCTGCAGAGTATTTGCTGAACTGCTCCGATGGCCAACGGCGCTTGACGGATGACCGCGGCGCTGACTCGAAGCCTGTTGTTGCTGCTGCTCGCTTTGCCCGCCGCGCCAACCAATCACGCTCTCCCGTCACGGGGCCACTGCAGATATTGAGATGGACAGCCAGGTGACCTTTATATATTCCTCGCGTACGAGCCCTTTCGAGACCGCGGGTGACCCCTTCTCAAGGGAGACTTGGGGTTTAAATAAGCTGAGTGGAAGAAAAAAAATGAGGAACACATTCCTGCATGCTTCGTCCTGTTCTTCTTCTTCTTGCAGAGCCGCACCTGTACCTGTCTTTGTGACGATCAAATCCAACTGCCGCCACGTGGTTCCTACGCAACCACGTGGTTCCTACGCAACCACGTGCTCCACTGCTGGCACGTGGTTCCTATGCCGCCACGTGTTCCAATGCTGGCATATGGTTCCTAAGACAGGACGTGGTTCCCACGCAGCTACGCGGTTCCTATTCTGCCACGTGGTACTTACGCAACCACGTGCTCCAACGCTGGCACGTGGCTCCTACGCCGGCACGTGTTCCAATGCTGGCACGTGGTTCCTAAGACAGGACGTGTTTCCCACGCAGTCACGTGGTTCCTATTCTGCCAAGTGTTTCCTACGCAGCCACACATTATATTGCTGGCACGTGGTTCATATGCCGGAACGTCGTTCCACAGCGGCACGTGGTTCCTAACACACGACGCGGTTCCCACGCAGCCACGCGGTCCCACACCGGCACGCGGTTCCAATGCTGGCAGGTGGTTCCAACACCGGCACGTGATTCCCCAGCGGCACGTGGTTCCTACACTGCCACGTGGTTCCTATTCCTTCACGTGGTTCATTGACGTTCAGTCGGACTGACAGCGATTCCCGTGTGGTCGTCGCGTGTGCCCACACCCCCCCCCCCCCCCCCCCCCCCCCCCCCACCTTGTGCGTCTGCAGCTACGACATCATGAACCTGCAGGAGACCAGCCAGGACAGCTACAGCTACGAGAAGGTGGGCAGCTGGGAGAACGGGGAGCTGCGCATGGAGGACCGCATCATGTGGCCCAACCGCAGCATCGGCGTCAAGTCGGTGTGCAGCGAGGCGTGCGGCCGCGGGCAGATACGGGTGGGTGGTGCGCGAAACGCTGCCCCATAGACTCAACGCTGCCCCATAGACTCAGCACTGCCCCATAGACTCAACACTGCCCCATAGACTCAGCACTGCCCCATAGACTCAGCACTGCCCCATAGACTCAACAATGCCCATAGACTCAACGCTGCCCCATAGACTCAACACTGCCCCAAAGACTCAGTACTGCCCTATAGACTCAACACTGCCCATAGACTAAGCACTGCCCCATAGACTCAACGCTGCCCCATAGAATTAAGACTGTCCCATAGACTCATCACTGCCCCATAGACTCAGCACTACCCCATAGACTTAACACTGCCCCATAGACTCAACACTGCCCCATAGACTCAACACTACCCATAGACCCAACTCTGCCCATAGACTCAACACTGCCCCATAGACTCAACACTGCCCCATAGACTCATCACATCACCATAGACTCAACATTACACATAGACTCAGCACTGCCTCATAGACTCAACACTGCCCATAGACTCAACACTGCCCCATAGACTCAACACTGCCCCATAGACTCACCACTTCCTCAGACTCAACACTGATCCATAGCCTCAACACTTTCCCATAGACTCAACACTGCTCCATAGACTCAACACTGCCCATAGACTCAGTACTGCTCCATAGACTAAACACTGCCCCATAGATTCAACACTGACGATTATCTGAACCGGTCCTGGACCTCTCTTAGTCTCAAATCAGTACCTGGTGTGGTGTGCAAAAGTCGCTATTAGGGAGACAAAGGCGGCCGGGCGTGGTGTTGGCCACCAACCCCCTCGTGTGCCGTGCCGGCCTTCGAAGGTGCTCGCTAACAGCACTTGCCCCAACATTCTGTTGATGCTCAACGGGGTATCTTTGCCTTTGTGTGCTTTTCGGTCGGCGGCTCCGACCGCCAGGTGATCCGGAAGGGCGAGCTGAGCTGCTGCTGGGTGTGCACGCCGTGCAAGGACAACGAGATCGTGCAGGACGACTTCACCTGCTTGGCGTGCCGCCAGGGCTCCTGGCCGGACCACGACCTCAAAGGTTGCACAATCACGTGGTGCTGCTGCTGATGATGATGATGATGTTGACGATGCTGCTGATGATGATGCTGCTGCTGCTGCTGACGATGATGCTGACGATGCTGCTGCTGATAATGATGATGCTGTTGATGATGCTGACGATGCTGGTGATGATGATGATGCTGTTGATTATGCTGACGATGCTGCTGATGATGCTGCTGCTGCTGCTGCTGACGATGATGCTGACGGTGCTGTTTCTGATAATTATGATGCTGTTGATGATGCTGACGATGCTGCTGATGATGATGATGCTGTTGATGATGATAATGATGCTGCTGATGATGGTGCTGCTGCTGACGATGATGCTGACAATGCTGCTGCTGCTGCTGATGATGCTGCTGCTGCTGCTGTTGATGATGCTGCACGTGACCCTGCTGATGATGACGCTTGCTCATGCTGATGATGCTGCTGGTGCTGCTTATGATCCTGCTGTACCGCGCCGAGCCCTCTTACTCATCTCCCCACCCCGCCGCCACCCACGCCCTCTCTGGACCCGCGTTACTCCGCTGCTTCCCGGCAGGCTGCGTGGAGATCCCCGTCTACTACCTGCAGTGGGGCGACGCGGAGGCATTGGCGGCGGTGGCTTTCGCGTGCGCGGGCCTCCTCGCCACGGCCTTCGTGGCGCTCGTCTTCGTGGCGTTCCGCGACACGCCCGTCGTCAAGTCGTCGAGCCGCGAGCTGTGCCTCATGGTGTTGGCGGGCGCCGGCCTCGGCTACGCGTGCACCTTCGCGCTCGTGTCGCGCCCGACGCGCGCCGGCTGCTACGTGCAGCGCATCGCCGTGGGGCTCGCCTCCTCGGCCATGTACTCGGCGCTCGTCACCAAGACGAACCGCATCGCGCGCATCCTCGCCGGCAGCAAGAAGAAGATCTGCACGCGCAAGCCGCGCTTCATGAGCGCCTGTGCACAGGTGAGAGGCCCGCTCCGGCCCGCCCTCTCGCCCGATGTCGTTGACTGGACGTGGTCGAGATTCGAACTCGGCTGACCGTGCGGTCGTAAGCGCGGTCGCAGTGGCGGGTGTCCGGATGTTGCTCGCTCTCTCGCCCGCCGACGTTGGACGTGGCTGGGAATGGAACTCAGGTGGCCGCGCGTTCGGATGCAGTAGTGGCGCGTCCGGATATCGCTCGCCGCTGACACCAGGCCAACCGCCCAGCCACCAACTCGATCGCCCAACTGCCCGTCCACCCAAACATCCACCCATAAAATAAGTGTACAATCACTCGCTATTGTATTTCCTGAGCCCGGTGCCGCACCGAGCCGACTGCAAAACAAAAGAGACAATCAGACAATCCTTCCCGTCTCTGTCCTTCTAACATACAGAAAAAAGAATGAAAGTTTTTTTTTATTTTGACACGTCCTATATGACCCACGTGGAGTGCACAGTATCAGCAGCATTGGTTTAACGCAAGCACAACGGCTGGACCGGTTTCGACATTCAATGTCTCATCGGCAGAGTCAGGCTCGCCCGAACCAATTTAAAAACAAACTATTTAAACTATCTATGTTTTTGTTTTACCAGGTATGGAAGGCCCAATGAGCTCTATAGCTCTTTTGATCAGAAGCGACCGGGTCACAAATGATAACTCGACGAAGTGGTTTATCACGTGCAAATGTAGAGCAGCCAAATAATCTAAACGCACGTTCATTGTAAATGTGCGAGGGAAAACAGGGGGATCCTCAGAAACATCCACGCGACCACGCGGAGAGAGACGCGTAAACTCCAAATATACGGCAGGCGTCAGGGTCGGGATCGAAGCCACGACCTCCTGCATACCAGGCGAGGGAGTTAACATCTCACCACCGATTCTGGTGAGCTGCCAGATATTAAAGCTCTAGGCTTCCCACAACCAGTGCTCCCTAACAGCACTTTGCCCTGCGAAGCGTACATTATTCAATGAGAGAGGCCACAGCATTGTTAAGTGGAAGCACAGATTCTGTATATAATCCCTCCATTTTCATCGAAGGGTATCTGCCCCTATAAATTGCCGTCAGCAAATGCGCGATAATGAACCGCTTTTCGGTGACAGTTCCATTTCATTTTGTGAATCTGGGATATTTGTTTTTCGTCCTCTCTTGAGCTCCCGGTTGGATAAGTAGTCGCGTAATGGACTAAAACATCAACGCGCATCTTTGGCGTACCGTGCGCAATGAGAGGCACTTGAATTATAATTACTCGATACTTTTTTACAACGTTTTTTTTTCATAAGCAGACCGTATTTTTATTAATTTGTTACGACAATTTTATTGTTATTTTTTTTGAATATTACGAAAAAAAGTGTATTTTTATATTACGCACAAACATCGCCGATTTTCATCATTCACTCTCGAGAAAATTTGGAACCAGTGCCTGAAAGTTTCGGCCGGCGGCCCAGCAGGCCCTGCGGTTTCACATCCTGGTGGCTTCAAGGAGTTGTAGCAACAACAACAACAACAGCAGGAGCAACAACAGCAGCAGCAACAACAGCAGCAGCAACAACAACAGCAGTAGCAACAACAACAACAACAACAGCAGTAGCAACAACAGCAACAACAACAGAAACAACAACAGCAACAACAGCACCAACAGCAACAGCAGTAGCAACAACAACAGCAGCAACAACAACAGCAACAACAGTAGCAACAAAAACAACAGCAGCAACAACAACATCAACAATAACAACAGCAACAGCAACAGCAGTAGCAACAACAACAGCAGCAACAACAACATCAACAACAACAGCAACAACAGCAAGAGCAGTAGCAACAACAACAGCAGCAACAACAAAATCAACAACAACAGCAACAACAACAGCAGCAGCAACAACAGCAGCAGCAACAATAGCAACAACAGGCGGTAGAAGCGGGTGCAGAGATCGCCAACCGCCCTTGGTTCAGAACACGTAATTATCGAAGTCCTATCAAGTTGGAACTTGAAAAGGACGTTCAAGAGGTGCGTGAGCATAAATTAAAGATATATGAGAAGTCTCGAGACTGTATGTAGGTTGCATGTATGTTGTATGTATGTTGTATGTATGTTGTACAGTGAGGGAAAAAAAAAAGTATTTGATCCCCTGCTGATTTTGTACGTTTGCCCACTGACAAAGAAATGATCAGTCTATAATTTTACTGGTAGGTTTATTTGAACAATGAGAGACAGAATAACAACAAAAATCCGGAAAAAACGCATGCCAAAAATGTTATAAATTGATTTGCATTTTAATGAGGGGAATAAGTATTTGACCCCCTCTCAATCAGAAAGATTTCTGGCTCCCAGGTGTCTTTATACAGGTAACGAGCTGAGATTAGGAGCACACTCTTAAAGGGAGTGCTCCTAATCTCACCTTGTTACCTGTATAAAAGACACCTGTCCACAGACGCAATCAATCAATCAGATTCCAAACTCTCCACCATGGCCAAGACCAAAGAGCTCTCCAAGGATGTCAGGGACAAGATTGTAGACCTACACAAGGCTGGAATTGGCTACAAGACCATTGCCAAGCAGCTTTGTGAGAAGGTGACAACAGTTGGTGCGATTATTCGCAAATGGAAGAAACACAAAAGAACTGTCAATCTCCCTCGGCCTGGGGCTCCATGCAAGATTTCACCTCGTGGAGTTGCAATGATCATGATAACGGTGAGGAATCAGCCCAGAACTACACGGGAGGATCTTGTCAATGATCTCAAGGCAGCTGGGACCATAGTCACCAAGAAAACAATTGGTAACACACTACGCCGTGAAGGACTGAAATCCTGCAGCGCCCGCAAAGTCCCCCTGCTCAAGAAAGCACATATACATGCCCGTCTGAAGTTTGCCAATGAACATCTGAATGATTCAGAGGACAACTGGGTGAAAGTGTTGTGGTCAGTAGGCGAGTGAATGGGTGAAAAAAACCTTTATTATGAATAATATTGGTCGCGAAAGCCTACGTGTTAAACTGAATGGGTGAGTTGATGGTTCCGGCAGTCTTTGAGTAGGAGCATGAGGAGTAACATCAAAGCTAGGAAGTGGTGCGATAATGTTTGTGTTTCGAATGAGGAGGTGTTTCTCCGTGAAAAAGAGTTTTGTAGATCATCGTATTCCTCCAGTATAAATAAATATCCTGATTCTGATATGTTCCAGACGTCTGCGTTGTTCTACTCTGGACGCGCAGGAACATCAGAGTTCATGGGGATCTGGCTGAGATTTTCGAGGCTTTATTAGATTATTCGTATTCTTTCTATTTTACTAGGTTAAGGCTCACTTGAGCTACCTATCGCTTTTTCAAAGCGACGTGGCCACCACAAATGATAGCTCAACGAAGTAGCTTATCATCGTGTGCAAATGTTTAGCAGCCAATTACTCTAAACGCACGTTGATTTTTAATGTGGAGGGGAAAAACCGGAGGACCCGGCGGGAGAGAGACACCAAAACTCTAAATATTCAGCAGCAGGCGTCTTCAGGGTCGAGATCAACCCCACGACCTCCTGCATACCAGGCGAGGTAGTTAACATCTCCTAGCCACCGTGGCGCCCTTGCTCTGCGTGAACCCCCCCCACCCCGCCACACTTTGATTGCGCCTCTCAGGCCTGCGCAATTGAACTCTCTCCCCCGTGCACCGACGCACTCTCTCTCTGTCCTCCTCTCCCCCTCTCTCTCCCTCTCCCCCTCTCTCTCCCCTTCTCTCTCCCTCTCTCTCCCCCTCTCTCTCCCTCTCTCTCTCTCGTAATTAGAAGCTTCCCGCGGCGGACTGTCGGTTCCGAGACCGCGCGCCACCACCCGATAATTGGCGCTCAACGTGAAAATATGCCACGGCATTGTTCTCCCGAGCGAGGGGGGCACTCGGTGTGCCAGGTGTCACTGCGCTAAATTTAGAGAAAATGTTCAATCACCCCCCAGCCTTGCCCCCCACCCACCATCCTCTCCCACCCACCCACCCACCAAATTATGGCAATTACAAATTGTGCGCACCCTAAGAGTGCCGTGTCAGAGGAGGGCGGAGGAAGTGAAAGGAGAGAGACAGCGGCGGAGATGAGCGATGGAGTGAGACAACCTGCTGGGTGTCTGTGAAAAAGAGCTTCATAGCTCATCGGATTCCTCCGGAATAAATTCGTATTCTGAATCGCCGGGTAGCGTCGTTGTCATCGTCATCATCATCATCATCGTCGTCGACGTTGGTTCGCTGAATCAATTTGATAGCAAATTTTACTTGCGTGCTTAGGTTTTTTGTTTGTTATCAAATTCGCAGAGTCGTCTGCTGCAGCTCCATCGGCTTCGCTGGGGCTCTAAAGGCGCAACGCTGCGATCACAGAACGCGATCCTCGCCGTCAGTGAACCGAGTCATTTGCGTCCCATGCCGTGTGACAGTGCCGATGATCGCCGGCTGAGTAAAATACGCGATTCCCCTACTCTCCTGAATGAGTGCAGAGGTAAAAGCGCAGCCCTGCATTGACTTCCCCGCGCCACTGCTGGCAAGTAGCATCTCCTCTCTCGAGTGTGTAATTGGCCTACTCTTCCACGCCGGCGAGACGTCGTGGAAGAGGTGGGATTGCCCCGCACTTTACCCCAGCCACGCGTGACCTACCGATCGTCGGCTGACCGCTAGCTGGACAGAGGCGGGTGGAAGGGGGTGGGTTTAATGATTCACGAGCCGCAGCCCCCGCTACCCCCTCCCCAATCGTTTCGCCTGCAGCGCCTGGAGATCGAATCGAGCCAGCGACCTCGGGAATGTACATCCATTGTGGCTGAAAATTAACACCGCTGTTGGCAGCCTCCCTTAATTTGCGAAACGTGTACACTGCGGTGTTGGTATTGGCCACTTCTCAGTAGTTCGTAACCTGGGGGTACACGCATGCCCTGGGGGTACGAGATGCCCTTTCTGGGGGGTGGGGGGTGGAGGGTTGTCAGACATGACCAGATTTTTTTTTAAGATGGTAAATCATCGATAAGACCAATTAACAACGGGCACGTAAGTACAACTTACGCTTTGGTTCTTGCGATAAAGTCACGTGGATAGAAAGTTAATAGATCACGACGTTTCGATCGCAACACAAGCAACCGTCATCAGGTGAGACAAACACAGCAGGAGAACTGCTGACGCAGTTGCTGAGGATCATATTATTATTATTACCGCCACTACGCCGACCGCAGTGTTAATGAGGTCAGCCGCCGCTGGCATCGAACCGCAAACCTCTTGCAAGGAAAGCGGCGAACTCGCTTGCGGCTGGGGCCGTGTTACCACCCTCGAGTGTTTGGATGGACACCACCACCACCACCCACCACCACCCACCACCCACCACCACCACCCACCACCACCACCACCCACCACCACCACCACCCACCACCACCCACCACCACCCACCACCCACCACCCACCACCACCCACCACCACCCACCACCACCAACACCCCCCACCACCACCACCCACCACCACCCACCACCACCCACCACCCACCACCACCCACCACCACCCACCACCCACCACCACCCCCCACCCCCACCCCCCCCCACCCCCCCCCACCCACCACCACCCACCACCCACCCCCCACCACCACCCACCACCACCAACACCCCCACCACCACCACTCACCACCACCACCCACCACCACCCACCACCACCCACTACCACCACTGACATGGAGACCCACAGACTTACAGATAGACCCTTTGACTCATATATATACCCATACACTCATATATAGACCCACAGACTTACATATGGACCCATTAACTCATGTATAGACCCACAGACTTACATAGAGACCCACAGACCTAGAGATAGACCTATAAACTCATGTATAGACACAGACTTACAGAGACCCACAGACCTACAGATAGACCCACTAACTCATATATAGACCCACAGACATACATCGAGACCCAGAGGGAGGTTTAATTCCCAGTCGCTGTCGCGCGTTATTGATCGGAGGCGATGACCTTGGTCGCGTGTCTTTGACCCCGGCTCGCTGACCCCTTCCCCCGGGGGGAGCTCAGACCGCCACGGTCAGGCAGGGACATCGTTAAGCAGCTGCGTGCGTACGTCGATGCGTGCGTGAACGTAGGTGCGTGGGTGTACGTAGGTGCGTGGGTGTACGTAGGCGCGTCCGTGTACGTAGGTGTGTGGGTGTACGTAGGTGCGTGCGTGTACGTAGGTGCGTGGGTGTACGTAGGGACGTGCGTGTACGTAGGTGCGTGGGTGTACGTAGGAGTGTGCGTGTACGTAGGTGCGTGGGTGTATATAGGTGCGTGGGTGTACATAGGTGCGTGGGTGTACGTAGGGGCGCGGGTGTACGTAGGTGCGTGCGTGTACGTTGGTGCGTGCGTGTACGTAGGAGGGTACGTGTACGTAAGCGCGTGCGTGTGCGTTGGTGCGTGTACGTAGGAGCGTGGGTGTACTTAGGTGCGTGGGTGCACGTTCGTGTTGCCGCAATGGAGATAAAGGCGGCTGCGCGTGGTGGCTGCCCACCCACCCCCTCGTGCCCGCCTTCACAGGGGCACCTCGCTAATAATCACTTGCCCCCAAGAGTCTGTTTTGAGGCTATACGGGAGATCTTTGTCTTTGTGTGCAGATGGTGATCGCCTCGCTGCTGGTGTGCGTCGAGCTGGGCATCCTGATCGCGCTGGTGGTGGTGGAGACGCCGCAGGTGAATAGACGCACGCACAAAGGCAAAGACCCCCCGTATAGCCTCAACAAACTGTTGGGGCAAGTGGCGTTAGCGCGTAGCGCATATGAAGGCGAGGGGGTGGGCGGCCAGCACCACGCCCGGTCGCTTTTGTTTCCATATAGTGGCGATTTTTACGCAGCGCGTCAGGAACTCATTTGATGCTGAGTCGATCTAGGAGAGGCTCAGGACCAGTTCTGATAATTGTCACTGCTGATGGCCATGAGCGGAAATCGAACTCGGGTCGCCGGGTTCGAGGCTGAGCGCGCTAAATACTGCACTACCGCTCCCCGTGCGTCACACACACACGTGCGTCACACACACACACACACACGTGCGTCACACACACACACGTGCGTCACATACACACACACACGTGCGTCTCACACACACACACACACGTGCGTCACACACACGTGCGTCACACACACACACGTGCGTCACACACACACACGTGCGTCACACACACGTGCGTCACACACACACGTGCGTTACACACACATGCGCGCGCACACACTCACACACACACGTGCGTCTCACACACACACACACGTGCGTCACACACACACACGTGCGTCTCACACACACACACACGTGCGTCTCACACACACACACACACGTGCGTCACACACACACACGTGCGTCACACACACACACACACGTGCGTCACACACACACACGTGCGCACACACACGTGCGCACACACACGCACACAAAGACAAAGATCCCCCGTATAGCCTTAACATACTGTAGGGGCAAGTGCTGTTAGCGAGCACCTATGAAGGCCGGAACGGTACACGAGGGGGTGGGTGGCCAGCACCACGCCCGACCGCCTTTGTCTCTCCAGTGGCGATGTTTACACACCGCACCAGGTACTCATTTCAGGCTGAATCGACCTAGGGGAGGCCCAGGACCGGTTCAGATAATCGTCACTGGGTGTTGGCCGTGAGCGGGAATCGAACCCGGGTGGCCAGGTTCATAGCGCAGCGCGCTAACCGCTACACTACCGTTCCCCAGACACGTGCGCACACACACACACACGTGCGCACACACACACGTGCGTCACACACACACGTGCGCACACACACACACTTGCGCGCGCACACACACGGACGCACAAGCCTCCTTCACTCTATTCATCTCATTGTCTTATTGATTACCTGTGTTCGTCTGATTTTCTCATCTTTGTTCGGTTTCTCTTGTTACACGCAGACGATCTATCTCGTTCATTTGTATGAACGAGTGCTGATTATAATTGAGTTAAATACAGCATTTTTAAAAAGCCAATGATTTACACTCAAAAAACAAATAAGCAAATCGCGAATTAATGAAAACCGCGGACAAATCATTATCCGTGTGTAAGTGGACTCTGAGACCTGGCACCCTGAGTCTCCGTACCCTGCAACTTAGAATATTTGAACTCAAGACCCGAAGAATCACCGTTCGTCAATCCCAGAGTATCTGAGTCTCGAGACTCAGGATATGAGGACTCAGGCTCCGAGTACTCGAATATTTAAATATGTTGGAAGGCACATTTTAGACTGAGAGGCCATAACCATGTGGGAGCGACTCTGTGTCTGCAAGATTCTGTGTCTGTTTGGCTTTATTACTCTAGGAACAGTATAAGCAAAGTGTTATAATTTGGAGACCCTGGTTAATGTGGGTGTCTCTTAGCCATGTCTACACATTGTCATTTTTGTTTCAATAAAATTCCATGAGTGCCATTGCCCGACACGTCACCTCTTACGTGTTTTTTTTTCTTTTAAGACCACAGCGTTATAGACGAATGTGTTGAGTGTCACGTAGGGAGTGACTCTTCTCCTCCCTCCCTCTCTCCCTCCCTTCTTCCATCCCTCCATCCCTCCATCTCTCCATCCCTCCCTCCATCCCTCCCTGCATCCCCCTCCCCTCCAGGTGGTGTTCGACTACCCGAGCCTGCGCGAGGTGAACCTCATCTGCAACACCTCCAACCTGGCCATGGTGGCCCCTCTCGGCTTCAACGGCCTCCTCATCATGAGCTGCACCTACTACGCCTTCAAGGTGCGCGGGCCACGGTGTAGGGCACGCGCGGGGTGGGGGTCACATGAGAGGATGGGGGAGGGAGGGGGGCATGGGGGGGGCGCATCCGCTGTCGTTTCCACCGAGCGGCCGGCAAATCAACCGGCAGTTTCGTGTGTGTGTGTGTCGTGCGGCCCTCCTCCACCCGACACTGCAAACTGGACCTCCTGCGGTGGTGTCCACTCCTCTATGGTGTTCCTCGCATTCCTGAAATCGCCTCTTGATGCTGATGACGATGATGTCGCTGGGGAGGAGGAGGGGGGGGGGTTGTTTTCTTGTTTTACTACCGGCGAGAAAAAGTCCCTGCCAAATTGTTCGACGCGCTGTCGTTGGTGATTGCTCTTTCGGAAATGTCATTCCGCTCTGGCGCGCGACTGCAGCGGCAATGTGTTCCAGAGCTAAATGTCAGCCACGACGAGAGGGCGTCAGCAGAGACAGGAAGCTCGGGTAGTTTTGCTGGTTCCTCCTCCTCCTCCTCGATTGAAAGGGAGCGCAGACCACAGTGGGGTTTACTCTGTGGTCCATCGTCCGGATTGCATGGCCACAAACTTTGGCCTTGTCTGTCGTGCATCTCCATGCATCTCCGTGCCTCTCTATGCATCGCTGCGTTTCTCTCTGCGTCTGAGTCTCCTTCTCGCATATGATAGCAATATGGCCCATGAGAGGGCCTTCAGCGGGGAGAGAGAGACAGAGAGAGTTCGTGTCTTCTTGCTTCTTTCGGTAAAGTCACGTAGAATGAAAATAAAATAATACAAATAAAACATAATAAAATTAAATATTATTTTATTTTATAAAAATAAAACATAAAATAATATTTTATTTTATTATGTTTCATTTTTTATTATTTTATTGTTTCCCTTCTACGTGGTGACTTTACCGAAAGAACCAACAAGATGAATCCCTGCAGTCACGAAAGCTTTAAATCGAAATTTAGAGTTCGTGTCGTTTTGCTCGTCCCCACCCCCCCCCCTACCTGCCCATCTCCCTCCCTCCCTCCCCCGCTCAGACGCGCAACGTCCCCGAGAACTTCAACGAGGCCAAGTACATCGCCTTCACCATGTACACCACGTGCATCATCTGGCTGGCCTTCGTGCCTATCTACTTCGGCAGCAAGTACAAGATCGTGACCACGTGCCTCTGCGTGAGCCTCAGCTCCACCGTGGTGCTGGGCTGCATGTTCCTGCCCAAGGTCTACATCATCCTGGCCAAGCCCGAGCGCAATGTGCGCAGCGCCTTCACCACGTCGAGCGTCGTGCGCATGCACGTGCGTGACGCCAAAGTGACGAGCCGCTCCTCCAGCCTGCTGGGCCTCTTCTGCCCCCGGCGCAGGTCGACGCCCGCCGAGGAGCCCCCCAAGGCTGGCAGCGCCACCACCACGACGGCGGAGAGGTGGGCGGGCGGTGACGGGCGGGCGGGCGGGCGGGCGGATCGCGTCACGGTCATTTTGCGGTGGGCGGGTCGCGTCTGAAAGATTTCGCTGAGTAGGCTCAGCGGGCACTTGCCTGGTTGAAATAAAACTCGGACAATTTTTGGTCGTTATTGTTTCGTAGTTTAGAGCGCGGGCGGCGTTGCGACCGGTGGTCGGGCCTGCGCGGGTGGCAGAGGACGGCGGAACCCGTCGCCTCCCCACCCACTCACCCATCATATCCGCTCCCGTGACAGAGAGATGTATAAATATATAACGAGACGGAATGTTCTGGGCGGTGGCCTCGCTTCAGAGGGCGGGCGGGCGGGCGGGTGGGCGGGGGGAGGCAGCAGAGAGGTTGACGCAAAATTCACCAGGCTCACCGTTAGCGCCGGCTGGTTCGGGGGACACAAGGAGGCTGGTGATTTTTTTATTTTGCCGGTTAATGATCCTTCTGCAGGAGATCGGTTTCGGATGCCATCGAGGTCAGCCGTGGATGGAAATCGAATCTCAAGCTGCTCTGGGTTCTTAGCACCGTGGATTAACTCCCGTGTACGCCACCAGTCCCCAACATCAACGGGCAATGAACGTGAAAACTTAAGTGTCCGTTGATAATGAATTTATAAATTAACACGAATATTTATATGAGACAACGGCGTGGCACGGTTGTCATGGGCGCTGGTGGAAAAAAAATAAGCTTTATAGCTCATCGTATTAATTTCTAATGTATAAATAAAAATTCTGAGATTCTGAAATGTGGTCACCCCTTTGTCTCGTGCCCCCGTGCCATCCATGCCCTCTGCCGCCTCGTCTAGTCCGGCGCCTCGGCACCCTACGGCCCTTGGGCCGTAGGGTGCAGCCGCATTCCCAGCACTCTCGTTAGCTACGCCGCTGGTTGTGGAGACTGCTGCTGCTCAACTGCACCATGGGGAGCTGGGGAAGGAAGGGAGCTGGAGAAGGAAGCTGTGGAAGGAAGCTGGGGAAGGAAGGGAGCTGGAGAAGGAAGCTGGGCGAGGGAGCTGTGGAATGAATCTGGGGAAGGGAGGGAGCTGGGTAGGGAAGGAAGCTGTGGAAGGAATCTGGGGAAGGAAGGCAGCTGGGGAAGAAGAGAGCTGTGGAAGAGAGCTGGGAAAGGAAAGGAATTGGGGAATGGAGCTGGAGAAGGAAGATGAGGAAGGGAGCTTGGGAACAGAGGGAGCTGGGGCAGGGACCTGGGGAAGGGAGCTGACGACAAACACCGCGAGTAGCGAACTGGAGTTCATCTCCAGTTCGCCGTCTCTTTTCTCACCTGTCACAGTGACAGGCCATTCCATTCTGCTCTCGCGTACAGCAGCAGCAGAGATAGAGAGTCAGAGACAGAATTGGGAAGAGAGAAAAAGAGATAGGTCAGGTAGAGGGGGTGCGGACAACCAAAATAACAAGAAGAGCCATTTCTTTCCGAATTCAGAAAGAAAAAGCAATATTTCAAGAGCCGCGATGCAATTGGTGAATTCGGGACGGCGGTCCTCCATCAACAACGTCACGAAGCAGTCGTTCAAGAGCTGCGCGCGTCTCTGGAGCCGCAAGGTTGCCGAACCCCCCCCCCCCTCCCCCGCCTCGGACTCGAGCCTTCGGTTCCGATCTCGCACAGCCCAGCGTCGTACGATCCTCACGTGTCCATCGTCTTTCTATCCTTGTTCTCCCGCACCGTGCCCCCCCCCCCCGTCCCCCCCACCCCCCTCCACCCCACCCCACCCCCCCCCCATCCCCTCCCCCCCCCCACCCCCCCGGCGCTCCCTGCGTCAAGCTCCAGCGGCAAGTCCAGCTCGTGGGTGCCCGGTGAGGGACGCTCGCGCACGGTCGGAGTCCTGCGGCGCATCTCGGCGCGCGTGCGGACGCGCGACGGCGACGGCGGCGACGGCGGCGGCGGCGGCGGCGGCTCCAAGAACCAGACGGCCGTCATCAAGCCGTTCGCCAAGCCCGCGGCGCTGGAGCTGCGTGGCAGCCTGCGCTTCGCCGAGATCAGCAGCAAGGGGCTGTACAACCTGAGCGAGGTGCCCGGCCGGGGGGGGGGGGGGGGGGAGTGTGCGGGGGGGGGGGGGGGGGCAGAGCCACTCATTGTCACCGTCACCACTGGCGGCGCTAGCAGTAGCACCACCAGCAGTAGCACCACCAGCAGTAGCAGCAGTAGCATCACCAGCAGTAGCAGTAGTAGCATCACCAGCAGTAGCACCACCAGCAGTAGCACCACCAGCAGTAGCATCACCAGCAGTAGCAGCAGTAGCATCACCAGCAGTAGCACCACCAGCAGTAGCACCACCAGCAGTAGCATCACCAGCAGTAGCACCACCAGCAGTAGCACCACCAGCAGTAGCACCACCAGCAGTAGCAGCAGTAGCATCACCAGCAGTAGCACCACCAGCAGTAGCACCACCAGCAGTAGCATCACCAGCAGTAGCACCACCAGCAGTAGCACCACCAGCAGTAGCACCACCAGCAGTAGCAGCAGTAGCATCACCAGCAGTAGCATCACCAGCAGTAGCACCACCAGCAGTAGCACCACCAGCAGTAGCAGCAGTAGCATCACCAGCAGTAGCATCACCAGCAGTAGCACCACCAGGCATCACCAGCAGTAGCAGCAGTAGCATCACCAGCAGTAGCATCACCAGCAGTAGCACCACCAGCAGTAGCATCACCACAGTAGCATCACCAACAGTAGCATCACCAACAGTAGCATCACCAACAGTAGCATCACCAACAGTAACATCACCAACAGTAGCATCACCAACAGTAACATCACCAACAGTAACATCACCACAGTAACATCACCACAGTAACATCACCACAGTAACATCACCAACAGTAACATCACCAACAGTAGCATCACCAACAGTAACATCACCACAAGCAGTACCACCTACAGCAGCAGCAACACAAATATTATCATCATTATTATGGCAGTGGCTCTCCCTCGCTTCATGAAGAAGGGCCATTGCCCCAAATGTCGCCTATTATATATTTTTCATCATTCAAAACCACACACCCAAAAACACGGTGTTTGAATGTATTGAACTTGTTGTTTTTGTGTGTGCTTGTGCACCACTCCCAACGCAGCAGCAGCGTCACCACCACCACCACCAAATAATGAATTATTATTATCACTAAAACGCTTGTTACAGATTATTCTGCATCTTATAACAACGCGACGGCAAACTGCTGAAAACGCAGTTGGGTCGGGGAGAAAAGAGTAAGGAAGCGTCGAAACGTTCCGTCCGTCGTTCCGCCGCGCGACCCTCTTGCAGGTGGACGCCGAGGGGACCCCGCGGTGCGGACGCAGTTTCGGCAGCCACCACGACAGCATCGTGGTCCGCCGGCAGGGCAGCTACCAGGGCAGCTACCAGGGCAGCTGCCAGGGCGATGCGGCGGTGGCAGCCGGCAGCAGCCGAGACTGCTCCGAGACGGAGTTGCCGGGCCCCGGAGCGACGCCGGCGATGCCGACCACTTATGCCGAGCTGTCGTTCCCGGCACCCGACGAGTCGTTCTTCGCTCGCCGGGGCATGGTGCAGACGGAGCCGCGTAAACCGGGCCTCGGCAAGGGCGAACGGGGCCCGTCCGTCGCGACCCCCGACCCAGCCGCCGCGGGGCCTCTCAAGGGGAGGCCTCGGATGGCGTTGCCCGACCTGAACCCCGGGCCGGGGCCTTCGGCAGCGTCGCTGCCCGACAGCTACACGGCGTGCCGAAGCCGGCTGCCGCATCCCGGCAAGCTCGCGTCCGTCACGGCGGCGGCCGAGGGCTCGCCGGGCACCGGCGGGCAGGCGGCGCCGGTGCCCGGGCCGGGGCCCTCGCTGGCGGCGCGGGGCCCGCCCGCCATGGCCGCGTCGTCATCGTCGTCGAGGGGCCCGACGACGCCACCATGTCGCCCTCAGGGCGCGGGCCCAGCGGCACGGAGGAACCCCACGCAGCTCTACGGCCGGGCCTACACCGCGCCCGGGGACAACTACTCGACGCGCGGTGGCGGTGGCGGCGGCGCCTCTCACCTCTTTGAAGATTGCCCCGAGTGCGCCCGGGCGGCCGCTGCTGCTGCTGCTGCCGCTAAGTCGTCTTTCGGCGGCAGCGGTGGCAACGGCGGTGGCGGTGGCGGCGGTGGCGGCGGCGATAGCTACACGGCCAACGTTGACCCGGAGCCACCGCTGATCGCTCCGCCGTCCCCGTTTCAGGACTCGATATGCTCGAGCGAGTCACCCACAGGCTCGCCCTTCTCGGAGCATGGCCCCTACTTCGCCTCCCCACCCAGCTACGCCGCGCTCCTCCTCAAGGACTACACGCAGAGCTCATCGTCGCTGTGACGCCGCCGCCGCCACATTGTCGCCGTCATTGTCGTCGCTGAGCCGGAGGAGAAGGTGCCGAGGGGCCTCACGCAATGGCACCAAGAGGGCAGGGAGGGCCTCTGGGCGAGTGTGGCAGCAGCAGCGAGGAGGTCAATGCATGGGGAGCTGTGGGCACGTGACCCAGGAAGTGGGAGGAGATGAGAGGAGGGTTGCGTGGCTCAGGGGTGAGACAAGCGCCGCCGAGGCCCTGGATTATAATCGATCCTGGATTGAACCACCCATGAATGAAACGGGTTCTCAGGTTCCGTGAGTTGATGGTCTTCAACCCGGTAACCAACGACTGTTCAGCAGTTTTGTTTTTTAACCAATCACACTTCATATGGCTACATTTCAGGCCTGGGAAGTTTGCGAAATGGGCTCACTGCCAAGCAATTAGCAAAGGCGCGCACCTCCCCGTCTGCGGATAAAACAAAGATCGCCTGACCGGCTGACCTGGAGAACTTGCGTGACATCTAACCATTGCATGGGGTGATGCACCGCTCGCTCTGAGCCATTGTTTTTCAGAACGGGCACTTGGTATCACGCATTGCGCGATGCCCATGGCCGTTGAATTTAAAGGGTGACGAAAAGACGAGCGACCACGGCCTCCAGCGGGGATGTTGGCGCTACCAGCCGTGTGGTGCAGCCACGGGACACATGCCACTCCTCTCGGAGAAGCACGGTTTGCCACCTGTCTTCGTTTGGCAGAAAATTATTTGTAACGGAGATCCGGTACCTGCATTGTATTGTGGAAAAGGTGGCAACCCTACCACTCGCTAAATCGTCTACCCACCCTTTAACCCACGAACCTACCTACCCACTCACCCATCTGCTCTCCTACCCATATACATTATCATCCATCCTCTCACTAGCTCACTCACCCATCCATCCACTCGCCCACCCACCTACCCACACATATACTCACTCACACACTCACTCGTCCACCATCTGACCCGCTCACTCACCCATCCAGCCACCCACTAGGGTTGCCACCTTGTCCGGAGTTGACCTGGACAATCTTGGAATTGGCATCATCTGTATGTACTGTATGTATGTTGAACTTCTTCTTTTGAACCGTACGTAGCCAACCGTGCTAATTGGAGGTGCGGGGGGAAGGACAACAAACTGAAAACAAAAAGCATTTGTAACGAAATAAGTTTTTAATCTAGATTATTTAAAATCCATAGCTGCGGTGGCTTTCGAATATTGGAAAGGAAGAGCGTTCCAGACGGCCACAGAAGCGCATCTGTAAGAGGCACGTATTGCAGTTACTGTCTTTGTTTTCAATGGCTAGCCAAAAGCCACTGCTGCTGCTGCTGCTGCGAGGATGACCATTGGCAGTAATCTGCACTGCTCTCGTAACAAAAACCTTGTCATCGTGATGAAAGGTGGCGAACCCGGCGAGTAGAGAGGCCGCCACAGCGAGACCTTGGGCCAAGTCTCGAGGGGGTCATGAGGGGGTTTCGAGGGGGTTTGCCGCTGAAACACAACACAGTGAGCGCACCAGGGAGGGGGGGGGGGGGGTGTGTCCAGCCACCCGCGAGCACCGTTGTGCTATGTGCCTATCAGTGCTTCCCACCGATGTTTTCTAAAAGATTGCTCGCACCGGCGAGTGGCGGCGGGGCAACAGGCGACCCCTTCGTCGTCAGCGGGTGCAGCCGCAGTTTCTGCAGGCAAACGGCTCGCCCACCTACCCCTGAACCCCCCCCCCCCCCCCTCTCTCTCTCAGTCCCTAAGTCATTCCTCTCTCCATCTCTTTTGTTGTGCGGTGGCCGTCATCGCCCCGAGGACCGGGTGGAAAATGGGGCTCACATCAACTCTCGTCGGGTGTTTATCGTGTTTTCATTTCCTTCGGCGATTTGTGGCAATGAAGTCGTCGCGGGACACTGGGGCGCAATGCATATCAGGTGCGAACGTCCATGTGAGTTCACCGCAAAGTGAATGGTGAGGGTTTGAGGGCTGGTGAGTGTGAGGAGTGGTTGACGGGGTTGTGGTAGGGTTGCCACCTTGTCCCGGTTTTACCCGAAGGTTCCTAGGAATTGGCGTCGTCCGTTTGCACGTTCAGGGTGCCAGCAGAAATTAATTTGCTACCTAGATCTTGGCATCGCCGTGAGCGCAAACATATATTGTCTGGGTTTGTCTGGGTTTGGTGTCCAGTAGAAAGGTTGAGCGAGGCCTACTGGATAGGGAAAGCCTGTCACGGGGCTGTTACCCTGGAGGCCGTGACCCCAGGGCTGTGACCCCGGGGTCGTGACCCTCAAAGTCCCCGCCCCCCCGTCTGCCCTTTGCCACAAGATGGCCACTGTTTAGGCGTCCACCGTGATGCCTGCGCCACTTAAAATGGCCGCCTTGAGAAGCACGTGATGTATTTATATGAAGGAAAGCAGCGATTGTTTTTTCTTTTGTCCTCTCGAGCTAATCTCTCTCGCTCTTCTATATTTTTCAAATCTTCGAGCACCAAAATGTATTGCACAACCCGCTTCAGCGACGCACCTTTCCGTTGAGTGACCCGAAGTTCCGACACCTTCCTGTTATATTCCAAGGGTGAAATAAAAGGCTGCAGTGAAAGGGTTAGAATGCTTAGTTGATCAGTGCTGTGATCGCCATTGCAGTTGCTCTTCCGAGAACGCAAGCCATGAGAATAATGGATTACAGTCGGCCATCGATTAATTATCCAACTCACGATTATCTGGCTTCCAACATTATCCGGCGGTCCAAGGCCGATCATGGCGAAATCGGCAAAACCGCCCTAAAGGCAGGAGCCGGTCCAGCGATCGGCACCGTGCGCATGACAAAAAAAAGTAGCTATGCTTGATTTCAGTGTCAAAATCTACGCAACCCCTATCATCACCCCATGTAGAGTCTCCGAGATTGTAGTGGCAAGTACGGTACATTGAATATGGTAACTTTTTACAATAGGGTATTTATTTTTGTCTATTTGTATGTTTATGCGTGATAATTTCACATAGCAAACAAATTTAAAACTATAAAAAAAACGTATGCACAATGCCTCAAAACATAATGTTATACAAGAATGTGCAAAAAAAAAGCTATTTTAAACAATGTTGTGTTTTTGAAAACCCGGCGCCCCCTTCCCCTTGAAGCCGCCAGATAATCTATAATCTGCTATACATTGATAATTTAAAACGCTAAAACGTTCAATTCGACGTCCCTTCGGCGGTGCCCTTGTTTTTTGTTGCCAGAGGGCTACAAAGCAAATTCGTTTGCGCTTTTGAGTTTACATGGACACCACATTACGCTTTGGCTATCGTTATTATAACGCAATGCTTCGCAAATAACCCATTCTCGCTTCACGCTTATGAATATCATGCATTGTGTGTCTGTGTGATGTAGTTAGAACATGCGTGAGTTAAGTTAATATTATTATTTTTTACTTACTCAGCAACGACATTGCACAGCGGTTAATACAGACCCCCCATCAACCATTTCTTAAGTTTAAAGAGAAAGATGGGCATTTCATAAACTATATTTAAACACCAGTATTTTAATCGGTACGCCGAAAATCGGGATGGAATGTCAGGTTGGTTTTATCGAAAGTCAGTATTCTGTAGTTGTGTTTTTTTTTTCTGCTGCAACTCATAAGATTCCTACGATCGGTCTGTTTGTACATGTGGCTGGTGAATGTTGATCATTAAAGCCCAATAATGTTGACAGCATGCCACAGAACCTTGGGGGGACGAAAAAGTAGGCCCCTATTAATGCGAAGATTGAACACGCCATTTGCAATATAACTCTGATATATTTCCATACGAAGGTGATTTTTTTTTCCTCACATGAAGGGTCCTGCTTTTGGGGATTTTGGGGCAATTTCTTAATTTGTCAAGGCGTTACAGCGCGGTTATAATCATTCGCACCGTGTCGTTGTGGAGAATATAAGGAATACAATAAATGAGCAAGACAATTCTCCTGCTGAACCAGGAGCCGTATGTGAAAGAACCATTGCCTATGGAACATCGGGCAGCTCGCCAGCATTGGTTCAACCAAGAAGACTGACTCCACTGATGGAATGCCATCATCCCTCTGCATACTCGTGGCAGCGTTAAATCTACACCGACATTTAAGATACACTTAAAAGCCCCTCGTCTCTCTTAAAGGTCCCCACCTCTTTCTTTCAGACCTCATCTTTTATATAAAAAAAATGGGCTACACCCATTCTACACCCATTTTAAACCTCTTTTTCCCTCCTGATGACGATCGCTTGTGTTGTGATCGAAACGTCGTAGTTTTTCGTATTTTTTTTGTTATTTTCCTTGACCCTATCTACATGACTTTACCGAAAACCCCAAAGAATATGAACCCCGCCTATTCTTAAAAGGCCCACCTCTATCTGAAAGGTCCCCGCCTCTTTCACCTGGCTTTGCAGTGGCAATATGCTGAAGGTCCATACAACAGAGTCGCAGTCCTTTACCTCCGCGAAATATTGTACCGCGTTATAAAATTGCAGTCGCATTATCATGCTAAGGAGACACCGATTGTCGAAACCAGTCCAGAGTTTGGCTTGTGTTGAACCAATGCTGCTGAAAGGATGCGCCCCCAGAAGGCCTCGTGGCTGATGGGAATGTGTAAAATAATGTATTTGTATTATGCGGAAGGACAAGATATGTTTGTTATCTGCTTGCTTATTTTTGCCTCTCCTCCAAGGAGGATGTTACGTCGGAGAGGAAATGAAAGTGTTCCGAGACAAATAAAACTGCGGGCATACGAAGGGTGGTTACACTCACAGGTCCACACACCTTGCAGCCCAGCGTATGGGCAGTCTCGCTGATCTAGCACGATCCAGCAACCTCCTCCTCCTCCTCCGAAGGGCTGACCCACAGGCATGCATTTTACTTTCTTAACACGCAGTTGCTCAGCATACGATTTTAAAACAACAAAAAAGGCCAAGACGTCAAGCGGCCAGCAACAAACAGCACTATCGCAGGAAAGGGGTGTAAACGCGTTGCTTGAATTGAGCAAGATGGTGACGGTGTTATTTGTATTATTATAAGAGTTTGGAGAAGAAAGACGATGGGAGAGTGAATTCAACAGCCAATCAGTGCTAGGGAAGAAGCAGAAAGAGAAGTGTAGTGACCTGCAGGGTGGTGCTGGTGCTGGCTCTGCTGGTGGTGGGGAGCGGTAGTGCAACGGATAGCACCCTGCGCTATGAACCCGGCGACCCGAGTTCGATCCCCACTAACGGACCAACGCCAGTGACGATTATCCGAAGGGGGCCTGGGCCTCCCCTTGGTCGACTCAGCCTCAAATGAGTATCTGGTGCGATGCGTAAACATCCCCACTGGGGAGCCAAATGTGGCCGGGCGTGGTGCTAGCTACCCTTCTGTATTGTGAAGACCTTCATGGGTGTTTGCTAACAGCGCTTGCCCCAAGAGTCTGTTAAGGCTATGCGGGGGATCTTTGTGTTTGGTGGTGGTTGAACAGTGTGATGGATCATATTCTTGGTTCTTTCGGTAAAGTCACGTAGAAGGGAAAACAATAAAATAATTAAAATATAAAACAATACAATTCTCACGACGTTTCGACTGCATACGCAAGCGATCATCATCAGGTGTGAAAACCACAGCAAGAAAAAACAATTCACAGCAAGAACATTTTTTTCAAAAATTTCTTGCTGTGGTTTTCACACCTGATGATGATCGCTTGTGTTGCAGTCGAAACGTCGTGAGAATTTAATTGTTTTATATTTTTATAATGTTATTGTTTCCCCTTCTACGTGACTTTACCGAAAGAGCCAAGAATATGAATCCCCGCAGTCACGAAAGCTTTAAATCAACATTTAGTGTGATGGATCGTTTCGACCCAAATTCCTCAACCTTGAGGAATCAATGAGCGAAGTTTGTGGACACATCGACCATGGCAGGAGCGATAGAAGAGCTATAAGGAGGCGACTGGCACGCTGGTGAGCGAGCCACCCATGATGTACCTATGCCGTGAGGTCGATCACCATGCAGACCCCCCTCCCCAGGTGTTGTTCAACCGTACCTGCGCCGGCTTGCCGGGCGTGCGGAGACCGGACGCAGGACGGTTGACGACTGTGAGGATGTTCGTGTCGCTGCGTTATGTGGATCCGCTTGCCTTTGGCACGTGCTTTCAAGACAGATGGAAAAATGCAACTGATACGTCTTGAATATATTTATATTATATATCAAATTATTGTCTGCCGCCATGGTGGTCTTGCACAGTCAATAGCGTAAGAAAACATGAACATTATTCCGTGTTTTTTTTTTTCGTGTCCCTTGAGAACATTTGTTTTCTGTTGCTTGGGCAGAACTGGGAAAGGTCGTCCGGCGCCCGAATAATTCAAATTGAGTTTTGTTCTCCCTTACGGCATTAAACTAAGAAAACAGATTACATTATTTACCGACCTGTAAAATGATTGAAAACAACATATATATAGTTTATATATATATAAGAATTACGATTTTCTTCGTACATGAATGTAAAAAAAAACAGAAAGGATATATTTCGTACTCCCTCCTTGATGGATGCTTTGGTGGATGTATCACGCGAGTTGTCACTCCCAGTTTAGGTCGCTCTTTAACCTTTGCTCCTTTGACCTTTGCTCTTTGACCTTTTGCTCGTGAACGACGAGGGCATCTGGAGTAAAATCCGCACGACGCAACCGCGGGTGCTAAATAGGCAAAGTCAAGTTGCATTAATTCCCCCGACACTGAATGGGCTGTCTGCCTGTCTCTCTCTCTCAGGGGGGCGAGCGAGCGAGCAGAGAGCGATCGTTTGGCAAGATGTTTATATAAATACCGTGAGAGGTCGCGTGTGTTTGATGATGATGAAGTTGCTGCTGATGCTGATGCGTGTTCGCGCATTGTGCCCCCCCCCAACTCCCTGCCCTGATCCAGGGTCTTTGGGTGATTATCCCTGCCGGAATACATCACGCGTCGTTCGCAGTTGTGAAATCAAATGAACAAAAATAAAAATATATAATGCGTATATAGTTTGGCAACGCTAAACGCTGGTTTTAAAAAAAAATGTGTCGTTCAAAGTTTCGTTGGTGAAGACAAATGTGGCGAATTGTTGGACCGTGTCGCCGTGTTTTATACACGTGATCCATCCATCACGTCCATAACGTTACGGTCTCGTCGATTAATTCTCATTATTAAGGTAAATATGTCTTATTTAGACAGTAGTGTCCGCTCGGTCAAAACAACGATGCCGACACACAACAACTAAGTGGCGGTGACGTCACCACGGCGCTTGTGCCAGGCTAGGTGCACTTTAGGGCCACGTGAAGTGTCGAACGGCTGCTGGCAGGAGGAGGTCACGGGACAGACCCAGGTGCCATGGGTTGACTGACTGAGATGACTGGCCGATGCACCACGTGTCCTCCCCCCCACCCCCTACTGTGGCAAAACAACTTCCTACCTGCTGGGTGGTGCCGGACGGTAACGCTGTGGTGAGCAGCGCCGTGGGGAAGGGAGGAACAATTTCAATTGGCCATTCCCCTCGTGGCGTTTGTAGCCACCGGAGCTGTCGAAGGGGGCTCTGGACAGGTGCGAGGGGCTGGTAACCCCTCCACCTACAACCGATGTACCATTAAACTACGCGAAAAAATTACGTGCACACACACACACAAACACACTGCTTATTTTTATTTTATTGTTAAATGCAGTTGTGCAGCACATTTGCTAGAATGGCACAAAACGTCAAACGGTCAGCAACAAACAGAACTGCTATCAAATGTGTATCACGTGCAAGATGTTGATTAACGGGTTTCTTTTAATTGAGCGAGGCTATGTATTACCTCCCACGGGCACGGTTGGCTACGCACGGTGCGAAAGAAGTTCAACATTTCAAGAGGTGTTTTTTTTTTTGGAGAGGTAGCAGAAAAACGATGGGATTGCGATTCCAACGTGGTGCAGTGCGATGGAATAAGCCGAAATAGAGATATGATGTGACCTGCAGTGTGGTGAGTGAGTGTGAGGGTTATTGAATGGGTGAGTGAGTGGGTGGGTTGGGTTGGGTGAGTGTGTGGCTATGACCTGCCTCCAACAACAGCGGAGGGAAGAAGAACAACGGGTGATTAAAATACATCAAGCTGGCACAGTAGGGGGTATCTGCCAATCATCTAAAGTCAGCCAACGCATGGCACCTGGGTCTGTCCCGTGACCTGTCAGTGAGCCTTCGACACTTCACGTGGCCTCGAAGTGCACCTGGCCTGGCACAGGCCCCTTGGTCACGTCACTGGCACTTAGTGGCCAATCGCAGGTATCAGTTATTGGCTGTGACCTGTAATACTCTTTGGTTCTATTCGGTAAAGTCACGTAGGTAAAATAAATTAAAATAAACTGAAATGAAATAAAATAAACAATTAAAACACGACGCTTCGGAGGCAAAGCAAGCTTCCGTCTTCAGGTGGGACCAGTCACAGCAAAATCGCTGTACCAAGTGGTGAGGTTCTGGGAACCTCGAGCTTAAATACAGGTTGAGGGGGGGGGGGCATGTAGGGGACTTTAGTGGAGTCCGGAGCTGAGTTAATCCGTCTTTTGTTGTGTAGATGGGTCACTGTGTGTGTGCAATATAATTGGGAAAAAATAGAAGAAAATTAAAGAAGATCGTCGAGGATGTGCTGTACGGGGGCTGTAGAAAAAAGGGAAATAGAAAAGTTCGGAAAGAATATGTTTGGTATACCACTGCTTGAAATTGCTGTTAGAAATTAGTTGACGTTTGGTATGATTTAGAAAGACGTTTTACGAAAGCTTCAAATCTAGAATGTGACCTGTAATGTTTGTGGCGGTTGAACACTGTGGAGATGGGATGCAACCGTCAGTGTGTGGTGGAGGAATCAATGAGTGGGGTTCACGGGAATAGTAACCATGGCAGTAGCGATAGATGCGTGAGTGAGTGAGTGGGTGAATGATTGAGTGGGTGAGTGAGCGACTGCCCAAATGGGCGAGTGAGTGAGGGTGTGAGCGGTAGTGTCGGGGTTAGTGCGCTGCGCTACGAACCCGGCAACCCGAGCTCCATTCCCGCTCACGGCCAAAACCCATGGTGATTATCTGAATAGGTTCTGGGCCTCCCTTAGGTTGACTCAGCCTCGAATGAGTACGTGGTGCGATGTGTAAACATCGCCATTGGGGAGACAAAAGCGATCGGGCTTGGTGCCATCCACCCCCTCGTGTGCTCGCTAACCGTCTGTTTATGCTATAGGGCGGATATTTGTCTTTCTGAGTGTGTGAATTAACAGGTGAGTGAGCGTGTGAATGAGTAAGTGTGTCAGTCCGAGTGTGTTGTTGTGACCAGATCTGGACACATTCCCATCAGTGGGCTCCTCCGGCAACGGAGGCAGCACTGGCTGGGTCACGTGGCCACCGCTTCTGTTTGGCCGCTTAGGGGAGGGCCAAACGGGCGCGGCACGGGCTGGAGAAGAGATGGAGCTGATGTGGCACAGAGAGATGTGGAACTGAGTGGACTTGCCGAAGACTGGTGATTCGTGAAATATGCAATTGGGCAGTTTGAGGCAGTCCAAAGACAACAGCGGAGAGCAGAGGAGCGACGCTCACAACAACGAGTGGAGCACGGGGAGTTGGATCAGGCACAGTTGGTGCATCTGCCAGTCATCGAAGTCAATCAACCTATGGCACCTGTGTCTGTCCCGTGGTCTCCTGCCAGCGAGCCTTTGACAGCTCACGTGGCCTCGGAGTGCACCTGGCCTGGCACAAGCGCCGTGGTGACTTTGTTGTTGGTGTTGTT